TAGTAGTGTAGAATTAACGTGTGTTAAAAGAAGAAAACAGCCAATTTAACTGAGTGGAGTTTTAATTGAGCAAATCTTAACATGATTATCAGCAGTTGTCCCTGAACAATTTCTGGACAAGTCAGTGTAGCCTGGTGATCAACTTGATATTTTAAGTTCCAGAAAGGGAAAATGATGTAGAAAAATGGAAGTGAAGCAATGAGGAAGGGAAAGTTTGAGTTGGTTACATTCTGAAACTTGTCTGCATTAACGAGTGAAGCAATGAGGAAGGGAAACAGTTTGATTTGGTTACATTCTGAAACTTGTCTGCATTAACCCAGTTTAAAAGCAAGGATGCCCGTGATTGACTGAAGCCTAGCTTCTTTGATCGGCTTTAACCTAGCAAGAAGGAAAGAAAGAGAAAATATGATATTGCAGTTTGTTTATGGAAACCAAGCAGGGGTACAGAGGCTTTTTTGATGTTCTTTAACACTCAGGATATACTAGGCTTCTAAAAATAGATAATTTTCATGAGGTTCTTGTAGATTTCACATTTTTCTTAGAAGCAATCCAACAGTCACAGATTATTTGAGAGTGTGTTGCCAACATAATGTTCCATCAATTTTGATTGGTTTAGTGTTTTATTCTTACCAATCCAACAGTCACAGAAAGTTTACAATAAATATTTTTCCTTTCCCTTAGATTATTTGAGAGTGTGTTGCCAACATAATGTTCCATCAATTTTGATTGGTTTAGTGTTTTATTCTTACAAACAAGGGCATCCTCTTGATGACCTCAATATAACCATTCGAACTGAGAAATTAACCCTGATACATTACTCACATGTAGTCTTTAGACTATAAGCAATTTAGCCAATTGTTCATATAATACCTTTTGGAACAAAATGAGCCAATTCCAATCTTATGTTGCACTGGGTGATCATGTCTCTTTAATTTCTTTCAATCTGACATAATTTCATTATCCTTCACTTTCAAGATCTTGATAATTTTGAAACTTATAATTCACATACATTGTAAAATATTCCTCAATTTGGATTACTCTGATATTTCCTCATAACTAGATTTGAGTTATAATTCTTTTGCAGGGATACCACATAGATATTGTTGTATTCTTCTCTTTGCATTCTATCATGTGGCCTATGATTTTAACTTGAGCTATTAATAGTAAACTGTGAAAATTGAATGATGTTGATATCTGCCACTACAAAATTACTTTCCTCTTTGCACCCAATAAGGGTTAATATCTTGTCCATCATCAGCCTTTCAATTTATTCATTTATTTTCTCATGTCACTGTGGAGTCATGATTTTCTAATGAAATAGGTTCTAATTACTTAATATAACTACTTATTTTGCTGCTCAGATTGTCACTGATTTTGTCAGTGGGAACTCTTCAAAACTGCTTATGGATCCTTTTGAAATATCTCCCACATTTTTTAAGCACTTTTATTCTTGCCCAAAAAGGTAACAACAAGATATTCCAAGCCCATTTTGATACTTCCCTGCACAATTCCAAGTGCCTGCTCTGGTTCCTTTATGGGAGACTTGAATTTAGAAATCAAGATCTGCTGCTTGCTTTCCTTGGCAATGGCCCACTGTGCTGTGGAATGTGTATTTCTCAGGCCTCTTTGCCTCCCTTGGCACTGGCCTGTTTCATCTGTGAAACGAATCTGTATCTCCTTCAATAAACTTTGTGATGAGCTTGGAAATAAAAAAAATAAGAAATCAAGATCTAGTACTAGCTTATATGATAGTTATTGGCATGTCACTGATCTTAGGCCATCTTTCTGAATTGTATTACTATATATGTTTATACATATATGTATGCATGTACACACACATTTATATCTATGTTAATTTCCATACCTGTATCATTGCTATCATTTCCTTAATTATTTTTCTGTATGTAAACATATATACATACAAATATGCAATATATATTACATGTGTGTAATTCAACACCACAGGGTATATTCTAGTTTTCTTCCTTTCTATATTTGTAACTCTTTTTCCTTTTCTTTTTTAAAAGAATTATAGTTATTTAACTTTATTTATTTATTTATTTTAATTTGATCAGAGAAGGACAGAGTGAGCAAGAGAGAGAGAAAGTGAGAAAGTAAGCCACCAAGTTCGGGTCTTGAACTGTGGTTGGCCATGTGGGAGCCCAGCGCCCTTAACCACCATGCCACCTGCTGGGCCCAATTTGTAACTCTTTTTCTGAGAGTGACAAATATGATTCTTATCATACCCAATATGCTTGTTATGTGTTTGAGCCCTCATATGTAACCAGTTTCTCATTTATTTTGCTTTCTCTAAGAAGATTCACTCCTCACCTCACTGTCCTGACACTTCTATCCTACTCAACTTGCTTGAATTTTGACACTCTGGTCAAGGCCTTCCCCTTCAAAGATGCCCACAGCACCCTGATCTGGTTCTAACACACCTTAACCTTTCTCCCTTTCCCAGGTGTGTCCTTCTCACTCCATTTAGATCTTTATTCAGGGATTTGCTCTTGACCCCGCTCAGACTTGGACACTCATATTCTGAATCATTCCCCTATGGATGCTTTCCTCACATTTGGCCTCTGACAAGTCACTCTGGAGGCCCTGCCCCACTTCTTCCCATGGTGGGCTGATATTTCTATTTCCTGCTTGTGTTAAAACATTTGCCAGTCAGCCTTCCTTTGCAGATGTGACCAGGTGTTGGAATCCACACCCCTCCCTTGTATGTAAGTCCCTTTTATCTTGCTTGGGCTCTGACAACCTGAACTGAGTCTGTCATCCACACTGACATCTCCTTTATTCTGTCCAGACTTACACGCATCTTACTGGGCAGGACAACTAAGGATGACTTACTCAACACCATTGAGTTTCAAAAAGCTTTTGTTGGATGACCTTTGGAGAAGAGAGTATAGAAGCTCTTTCCACTGACCTCAGGTTATGATACTGTGCCAGGCAACTCAACTATAAATATCATACAAATATGTAGTACTTTACAAAAAAATAAAGAGCTTATTAATTGTTTCAAGGGGGGATGTCAAATGAAAGGAAAACATATAAAAGATAGTTATTGTTTTTGAAAGAGTGAAATTGTCAGTTTTCTTTTAAAATAATTTAGGGGTCAGCCAGGTTGCATGGTGGTTAAGGCAACTGGATCCCTGTGATTCAAGTTCTGGACCAGATGGCTTGAAAAACCACACTGGGAACTTGTGCCTACATGCCCTAAATCCCCAGAGGAGAAGGAATTGTGGCATGGTCATCCCTTCGGCGGGATGTCATTGATCTCAGGCCATCTTTCCCTCTGTCTCTCTCCAGTGAGCACAGGAGCCCAATAGCCAGAAAAAGAAAAAAGAAAGAAAGAAAACTTACAATTTATACAACTAATTTTTCTTCAATTGCTTTTCAGAGAAATATATATAGTGTGCTTTTTGTATTATCCAGCCCAAGTGATTTTTTCAATATATTCTAGTCAATCTTTGATTTTTAAAAAATTTTCTCCTACATTTAAAGACTGGCTGTTATTTTACAAAAAGCTTTCGGAATTGTAGTTTGGTGAATGAAATAATGCATACCTTCTAGTTTTCTAACCTCCTTCTATTAAACCAGATTCTAGGATCACATTTTGCTGTCCTTTAAATTTTTTAATTAATAAATTTATTCAATAGTTAATTACTGCCAACTCTTTTTATTAACTCGATGTTGGACTCATATAGAGAACGGTGAGTCATGGCTTGCCATTGGGAAGATGTTAGAAGCTAACAAATGATTATACTGTGATTATGAGTATAATAAGGAAATATTTCAGTAGAAGGGATATAAGTCAGGACAGCATGGATGAGGGAATAACAAATTCTGGGGGATTTTGGATGGCATTGCAGAAAATATGATAATTTACCTGTTTTTAAAAGATTCTTAGGATTGGGACCAGCAGCTGGCATAATGGCTATGTTGCTGGACTCCCATGTAGATGACCGCAGGTCGAGTCCCGGACACGGTGGCTTAAAACTCACACCAGGTACGTGTACATGCATGCCCAAGATCCTGAAAGGAATATGAAGGAGAAGGGATTGCAGTGTGGCCATTCTCCCTGCAGGGTGATTTCTCACTTTCTGTCTGTCTCTCTCTGTCTTTCTGGTGAGTGCACACACCCTATAGCAAAAACCTCTTAAAAAAAAAAAGATTCTTAGGATTCACACAAGGAGAAATGTAGATAAAAAATCATGTGCTATTTTTAGTAAGTGTAAAAGATAATTATACATTATAGTTGTGCAAAGCAGGTAGGTGAGATATGGGCAGAGAAAGAAAAAGGTGAAAATGTATAGCTGGAAATGGAGTTCTGAGACAGATCAAATTCTTGATTAAATAAAAGTAAAAATAGAGCAAATAAGCTAAAAATTTCAGACTAGTTTTCCAAAAATGAGGGCTGAAAATTTTGTTTTAATTGTTAAGTAGACATATGGCTGGATTTTCTTGGAAAGGCTTAATTATATCTATATTTCTTATTTCCGAAAGTTTATTCTTATGTCTTAGATAACTTGTTCCTGCATTTTTTTTTTTTTGAGAGGTTTTTGCTATAGGGCACGTGTGCTCGCCAGACAGACAGAGAGAGACAGAGAGACAGAAAGCAAGAAATCACCCCCCAGGGGGGATGGCCATGCCGCAATCCCTTCTCCTCCATTCTCCTCTCGGGATCTTGGGCACGCACATACATGCGCCCGGCGTGAGTCTTAAGCCACCGGGTTTGAGACGCGAACCACGGTCGACTACGTGGGAGTCCAGCGACATAGCCATTACGCTAACTGCTGGTCCCTTGTTCCTGCATTTTTGAGTTCACAATGCTTTTCATAAAGTGACATAGTCAGAATATTGATCTTAATATTTCTTTCTAACAGAGATTCTGTGACTTGACATGTAACTTTCATTTATTCTGTTTCATTCATATTTAAAACCTTTTCTTCAGATTTGTGAGCTTATTTGCACATAAGGTCAAGGGTGTCACTGTGTCATTGTTTTCTCAGGAACCAGTGTCTACTCATCAATTTTCGCATAGCTCCATGTACCTCCTTATTTCTCAGGCTGTAGATGATAGGATTGAGCATGGGGGTGACCACACCATAGAAAAGGGCGATTAGCTTGTCAAATGCAGAGTCTTTGGACTTTGGCTTCATGTACATGAAGAGAATTGTCCCATAAAAAACAATCACCACTGTCATGTGAGATGAACAGGTTGAAAAGGCCTTCTTTCTTCCTTCAGTTGAATTGATTTTTAGTACAGTAGAAAGGATGAAAATGTAGGAAATACAAATCAGCAGTAATGGAGAAAACAGAAATATTACATTGCCCAACATTATAATAATCTCATTCAAGGAAATATCTGTGCAGGCTAGCTTAACAAAGGCCAATATTTCACAAACAAAATGATTAATGACATTTTTTCCACAAAAGGGTAACCTTATTGCAAGAATAGTTTCTGTCAATGAATTGAGAAAGCCTAATCCCCAGGAGAGAGCTGCCATCTGAACACAAAGCACCTTGCTCATGATGATGGGGTATCTCAGAGGATTGCAGATGGCCACATAACGGTCATAGGCCATCACAGCTAGCAGCACACACTCTGTGGATCCCATAGTGTAAGAGACAGACATTTGAACAACACATCTACTGAAGGAGATGGTTTTTTTCTCAGATAGAAAGTGTATTAGCATTGAGGGGATAAAGGAGGATGTGTACCAAATGTCTATGAAGGAGAGATTACCAAGGAAGAAGTACATGGGTGTGTGGAGGCGGGAATCCTGGAGTGTTAGGATGATCAAGGTGCAGTTTCCTAGGAGGATTATCAGGTACATCACCAAGCACATAACAAAAAGGAATTTTTCAGCTCTTGGATACTCAGAAAGTCCCTGCAGAATGAACTCAATCTCTGTCCAATTGGTTCTTTCCATTTCACTTTTTTTATATCTGGAGTTTAACAAATATGTACAGTATTATCAAATAAGATGAGAGATACTCAGAGTAGATGGGGCAACAAATGTATCAGCTACTGAAGTGGTGATTCCACTTGTGACTTTCATTTCTTGGTTCCTTCTTTTACTTACAGAGCAGTGGACTGAAGACACATTATAATTACCTTGGTAGCTTATTAAAAATGCAGATTTCTGTATCCATTTTCTGAGACTGGAATGCATGAAGTCTGAGACAGGAAGAAATATTTGCATTTTTACCAAGCATCTACTATTCTTACACAGTTGAAAAACAGACCATCCTCTGGGACCAGCAGTTAGCGTAATGGCTATGTTGTTGGACTCCCATGTAGTTGACCGCGGTTTGCGTCCCGGACCAGGTAGCTTAAACCTCATGCTGGGCACGTGTGCGTGCATGCCCAAGATCCTGAGAGGAGAACGGGGGAAAAGGGGTTGCAGCATGGCCATTCCCCCTGGGGAGTGATTTCTCACTTTCTGTCTCTCTGTCTCTGTCTCTCTCTGTCTGGTGAGCGCATGCGCCCTATAGCAAAAACCTCTCCCTCCCCCCCAAAAAAGAAAAGATCATCCTTTGAAAAATTAATATCTTGGAGAGAGCATGCTTTAATCTGTTCAACAAATTTTTTTTTTTTGGGGGGTGGAGGTTTTTCCTGTAAGGCACGTGCACTTGCCAGGAAGACAGAGAGAGACAGAGAGACAGAGGGACAGAAAGCGAGAATTCACCCTCCAGGGGGGATGGCCACGCCACAATCCCTTCTCCTCCAATCTCCTCTCAGCATCTTGGGCACGTGTGCACATGTGCCTGGCGTGAGTTTAAGCCACCAGGTCCGGGACTTGATTCACAGTCAACTACATGGGAGTCCAGTGACATAGCCATTATGCTAACTGCTGGTCCCACAAATAATTATTTTTATTTGATTTAATACCATATCAATCATTACTGATATAATTGGTTTAAGGTTTTGTGGTTTACAAATATGCTCAGATTTTTTATTCATCTTATCGTCATTATAATTCTCTGAAGAAAATGAAGTCTAGAGAGAAATTTGCATAAAATTAAGTAAGTCAATAAACTGCTATGGGAACCTTTTTTTTTTTTTACTTTAAATTTGTTTCTAAACTACACTTTATTGTCCTTTTACAATTATTTAAGTTGTTTAAGCAGTAGGAATGTGACATCTTTAATTTTTTATCTTTTCTTTTTTTCATAATTCCCTTTAGGTAATTTTTTTTTTCTAGAGAGATTTTTTGATATAGGGTGCATAGGCTCTCCAGAGACAGAGAAAAATCACCACCCTGGGGGGAGGTCATGTCACAATCCCTTCTCTTCTATTCTTCTCTTGGGAGTTTGGGCACTCATGCATAGGTGCCTGGTGTGAGTTTAAGCTACAGAGTCTGGGACTTGAACCATGGTTGACCATGTGGGAGTCTAGCACCTTAACCACTATGCCACTGGGTGGCTCCAACCCCTTGGGTAATTTTAATGTATAACTGAAGAGGCTCACCCATTTCCAAACTTTAGGATTCATACAAATTACCTGGGGGAGCTTTGTAAAAGATTCTGATTCAGTGGGTCTGAGGTGGATTCCAAGATCTGCTTTATTAACATGTTCCTTGCTCTTTCTTCAGGACACCTGAGTAGAAAGGTCTTTTAGACTACATCTCTCCAGTCCCATTGGAGAGTACTGTTGGTGCTTCAGTTGTGTATCAGATAAAAATATGGAGAGTAGACAATGGTAAACTGAACACTCTGATGAAACACTCTGGAGTAAAGACTCCTGTGTAGTTTATTGCAATTAGTTTTATGTTCTTTAGATTTTTTGATATATAAGTAGTTAAAGAAACTACATAGAAGAAATTGCCTTTTATTTCTTCCCATATGAAATTGATTTTCCTTCTTCTTGAATTTTTAGTTACGAATAATGTTTTCCTGAAGAAGGAATTTTGATTCAGCTCAAGCACTTGAGTTGTGCACTGAAGAACATGGAGCAAATGACTTAAATTTGAAAAATTTTAAAGGATAGATATTTGTAGGTGAATGTCTTCTTAATAGTAAATAAATCATGAAGTCTCATTTTGAAATGCTATTCTTGTGGCATTCTGCCTAGTTTTAAAATATATTATTAGAATAAAATAAAATTGTCTAATAGATGAGTTTCTAAGTAGTGCTTTCAAACAGTGGCTGTGTTTCTGAAATAAGATTTGCCTTTTTTTTTTCCTGATAGTCATTTGCCAACAAATTGTTCTTTCTTTGAAAATTCCAGTTTACCATGGTCTAGTAATTTAATTGTTATGAAAGGATGTTTGCATTGCTATGGACTATAGATACAAGGACTATTATTTAATTTACACTGTACCCTATTTATAGGCAGACATCACAAAGAGGATGAGAAGGGTTGAGCCTCTCACATACATTCTTTGGTTTTAAGATTGGAATTTGATTGGCTATAGCTGCATATCAACCTACTCTGATCCTGCCTCTAAAATTCTAATAGAGGCTTTGAAGAAGCATGAGTTACTTGGGGGTCTGTGTTAAAGCTTCTGCAGAGAAAATATGAATCAGTAAAATGCCCTCTCTAAAAACATCTCTTAAAAGTTTATTTTGATTTGGAAATTAATTTCAGAAAACAATTATGGTATACATTTGGCATTCTAACAGCACTGAGATAATCATTGCAATAAAGGTTTCACTTGTGGCCCAGCTGTGATGGTATAGGCAATAGGGCACCACTGTGTGACACTGAGACATATGGAAATGCCTAGGTAGGCCTGCACAGAGTCAGTCGTAACATACCCGTCGTACCTGCAAATGCACCCATAATCCTGGCTGGCTAGAAGTCTTGGGGTGGATTACAGCATGGTAAGACCCTGCAATGGATCTGTCTCTCTCATGAGAGAAAGAAATATACTTAAAAAAAAAAAACAAAAAAAACAACCGTAGGGCCAGTCTCTCCAAAGTGAAACATGCAGTGTTTATCTTTGCCATCTCTGAAAGAGTATTAAGACAAGGTTTGAGGGAGTCTGATGGTCCTGCAACTGTAAAACACAATGCTCTGTGAGGTTGACCCATGGAAGGGTCAGGGTCATGTGGGGAGAACTCTCTTAGTGTGGTGGGTATACATGTGACCTCAGATATGGGGCTGGCTGAGACTGGAGTTGGATTGTGGTGGCAAGACCTTGTTGGGAGTGCTGTCTCTTTGTTTTTTTCTCTATCTCTCTCATTCAGGGAAGAAGTAGATATATTTTAAAAATGTCACTGGCAAAATTTATGAGAAATCACCTGTCTGTTTTGATGCTTCTGGAGACAAAAGGATAATTAACAGTAAGAAAAAATTATTTGCATTACTTTTTCAGTGCTAGTTCTCCTATCTCTTTTGATGCTTCCCATTGGAGACAAAAGGATAATTAACAGTAAGAAAAAATTATTTGCATTACTTTTTCAGTGCTAGTGTAATTATTAAAAAGCGATCACCAGATGCTCTGTTGAATAGTATGGAGCCTGAGTTTTTTCTTCATTTAAATTTACTTCCCTGAAACAAATTCTTAGAATCTATTTGGGAACAGGTAATGCAGATTAAGATGCTGGATGATTTCTAATAAATTATTTTCCATGGAACTCATAGTATAAGATAATTTCATTTTTTATCAGATTGCTGTCATTATTTGATATTGCCTTTTTAAAAAATGTATTCATGGGACCAGCAGTTAGCATAATGGCTATGTCACTGGACTCCCATGTAGTCGACGGTGGTTCGAGTCCAGGACCCAGTGGCTGAAACTCACGCCGGGCGCCTGTGCGTGCGTGCCCGAGATCCCGAGAGGAGAATGGAGGAGAAGGGATTACGGCATGGCCATCCCCTTGGGGGGTGATTTCTCGCTTTCTGTCTCTCTCTCTCTCTCTGTCTGGCGAGCGCACATGCCCTATAGCAAAAGCCTCTCTCTATATATCTATCTCTATCTCTATCTCTATCTATATAGTCATTTACTTTTTTCAAGAGAAAGAAATGTCCTACAACAGGATTTCCATGGCATGACCCACTTCTGATCTCAGCTCTCAGCCAGCCTGGATCTTGGGAATCAATGCCTGATTTTCTTAGGGAGGTTCCAGGCCATGAACCCAGACCTTTCTCATCTTGATCCAGTTGCATTACTACTGCACCACTGCCTGGCATCTGGATATTATCTTTTAAAACACCTTTTTGTTCTTGTTTAATGCTACTGGAATTATTAAACAATCATAGTATACTCATTTTATAGACTATTATGTCCCTATTAATAGGATTTTTTTGAGAGGTTTTTGCTATAGGGCGCGTGCGCTCGCCAGGCAGACAGAGAGAGATAGAGAGACAGAAAGCGAGAAATCACCCCCCGGGGGAATGGCCACACTGCAATCCCTTCTCCTTCATTCTCCTCTTGGGATCTTGAGCACACATGCACAGGCGCCCAGAGCGAATTTTAAGCCACCAGGTCTGGGACGCGAACCGTGGTAGACTACATGGGAGTCCAGTGACATAGCCATTACGCTAACTGCTGGTCCCATGTCCCTATTAATAGGGTTTTTATGAGAAATTTGAATTAACACAAAAGTGGTATCTAAATTGTGTTAAAATGATTCAGTAAAAAACAAAACACAGTACACAGCATTGTTTACAAATTCAAAACTTAAACCAAGATAATCTGGACAGAATGGAAAGGCTGAAAAGAAATAAACAAATACTAATGTTTATCTTAGAGAGCTTCTTTCTACTTTTTTGAATTATCTAAATTTTTAAAATAAATTTACATTAAGAAAAATATAATCAAAGAGAAAAAAAAACAACACTGAAGCAAATGTCTATAATTACCAGAAGGGTTAACTCAGAGTAAAAATGTTAAAACAAGGTTACAGTGATTATGTTCGGTATCTAGACCTTGCAATAAGGCCAAGTTGGATTGGTATCTCCCTTCTATTTACCCCTAGGAGC